TCAATTTCATATTGGACTACGTTGGTTTATAACAAATCATCCAGAACTTAAGAATCGACTATTTTACCTGCTTCAAAATATAAAGATTGATTTAGAGATTCCATTTTTAGAGTTTAACAACATTTAATTCAACACATGATTGTTCAGTATTGAACATGTTCTCTTAGTAATCAACGCCTATATCATCTTATGCATGGACTAGCCAAGAAAGCTGGTCAGATTGCTTGTAAAAGATGTGACGAATCTTTGTCACTTTACTTGAAGAATGCATTAACAAAAAATATAGAGAAGCATTAAGATTCTTTCGAGTAGTTGGTCTCTTTTCACACGCCTTCTTTGGTAAATTACCTTTGCTTTAAAATAATAATAAGAGAAAAAAAGCCAAACACCTAAAAAATAAATTTCGAAAAATTTTTAAAAAAAAACCAAATAGAAGTTGTGCCCTCGGTGTTCTAACCAAAAAAAAATTTTAAAGTAAAAATTAAAGTATTGAATTGAATAAAAAGAAATTTTAATGAAACCTGAAGAACCTGAAGAACCTGAAGAATCTGGGACCGTGAAATCTTATTTGTCATATAAATATAAAATTGAATTTCCGTGCTGATAATAAATATATTAATAAATAATATAAGCAAGCGGGTCGAACCCACTCTCCGTTATGTATGTATCCGAAAATGTACCTAAAAAAAAAAAAAAAATGTAAAAAAGCCAATCCAGTCAACTTAAACTAATACCAGAAGTGATCACATCTTAAAATGAAAAAAAAACAAAGAGAAAAAAAATAATAATAAAATATTCGAAAGCTATTTAATTTTAATTTAAAAGCAGTTAGATAACTAATAATTTTTTTTTATATTAGGTTAGAAGGAAAAGCAAAAAGCAAATACTTAAACGTCACCATATTTATATATAAGGTTAAACAAGCTTTCAGCATTTTTACTTTGTTAACTAATTATACATATTGATCGAGACAGCGAGTTATAGACTTCTTAAAAATTGAAAATAAATTTCCAACCGGCCGGATTTAATGTCATTGGCAACCTGAATGAAATAGCCGCATTTTTTGAAACAAAACTTTAAGCTGTCTAAGGTTTTCGATATTAGTATCAGTCCCAAATGATACATACCACTTGAAGAACCTGCATGTTGTGCATCGCTATCAACTTCATACCCCACATGAAGGATGTCGGATAATCAATGGATTCCAATGACGCTTCGGTTTTTGGTGGAAATCTTTTATTTTCCGACATAACTTTTGGGTTGAACCGCAGAACTGAATTATTCATAGGTTTGGTTAACCAAATGACTATCAGAACTGCGATTCATAAATTAACTTCATATTATTTCTTTTAGATAATTAAATTCGATAAATGTGATGTAACGATCTGATATTTTGCCCATTTTTATCTTATCGCTTAGAAGCTTCATTTCTAAGTTTTACAAGTATTTTTAGTGGGAACATCATCCGATAGGAAAACTTTAAAATTTATTTTAGAATCTACACTTTAAATATAAACAATCATTTTATTATACTCAAACTTTTAGAAATTTAAATCCTGGTTTCTTTTATCAATCATTATTAAAAGTTTCTTCTAGACTATTTTAAAAGCGGGAGCACATCATCTTAACCATTTGGAAATAGTTTTAGCAAATTGAAGTCCACGATATTATTAAGTTAAAAAAGGTATGAACATTTGAAATTCAAAGATTAATTATTTTTTTACAACAATTAGCTATGATTTACTTATTGTAATTAAAACCCTTTCTCGTACAACTAAGGAAGAAATGAACGCTAAACAAGGTAGTATTTGGCTTTTATTACGAAAAACAAGAAAAGTATTTAGAACTTTGTGTCAATATTATATCATGAAATCTGATGTGTTAAATAGAATTCAATTAGTGGCCTTCAAATATATTTAATGGCATATTATAATGTAATTTATCCTTTTTATCTATAGCCGGCATTTGTTTTCAAGGTCAAATTATGAAGTTTATTAACGTACTGGAATTTGGAACGAATAAAATGTGCTGAACGATGATAATTCGAAAGGTCGAATTTAACTATGGCAAAATTGATTTTGAACATCAAACTGAGGTTAGTTATTTATTTGCATATTCATTTGCCCGATCTAATTTTACGTTGAAAACTCTCGTCCTCGTTACATTATTATACCTAAATTGTAACCTTACCTTTATCATAATATTGACATTTTAGATTTAACGAAATCAAATCCCTATCACATTTGATAAGAAAGAACCATTCCAAGAGTCCAAGAGTATTGAATAAAATGTTTCTTGGTAAAAGATGACATATTTTATACGATTCTTTAATAAGGAAACTAATTCTTTTTTTTTCAAAGCGTTTTAAATCCTATAATGAATTCTAATTATTACAACTTCTTCCAATGGTCTTTTTTTCGCTTATCCGTTCTTATAATTTCTATATTAGGAAATGCGGTTAAAATTATCAAAGGTAAATTAATACTAAAATTACTTACTGTTAACTATATGAATATGACTAATAGGAGGACTGAGATCAATCAATTTTACTATATGCAGACTTTGGCAAGAATGATCTTGAAAAGGATCTTGTGTCAAATCTATTAAAGCAATTTATACAAGGACTATGTAGAGCTTCAAGTGAAAGGTTTATTTGCACATTACATTTTGAAGCAATGACATGTATTATACGAATAATTTATTATTATAATTGGTGAATAATTGGATTTTAATTTTGAAAGTATCGTTAATGATTAGAAAGCACAAAGCTAATTTCAATCTTAACCGGATCTTAAGCCTCGTTCGAAAAAAGGTATGATTTATTTGGTTGGAAATGCATTAGAAAAAATGATGATTTTTAAATCGCATCACATTTAATTTATTATATTTATTATATTGAAATTTCTTTAGAATCTCACTAACTTATTCTTAATTTTGAAGTAATATATTCAATCAAAAAGGACAAAAATTCGTTTATATATTAAAAATCTCAAAATTAAACAATGTTAATGTCAAGAATAATTTGCGAAAAATTAGCAAAGGTTTAAAAAAAATTTTTTATTTTATTTTACTTTATTTTCATACATTAATTTAATTACAGATTTGATAATTTTACAAATATCAAATTCGATTGATATTTTTTTCTTATTTTAAAAATATCATTTCATACTCATGAATGAAATTCAATGTTACAAATTAGGAAATTGATCTTTACAACATATCGTTCAATCAAAATCAAGGATTTTCGTAATACTATAAAACAATAGTAAAAAAAAAAAAAAAAAAAAAGGAAAAGGAAAAGGAAAAGAAAGAAAAAAAAAGGAAACAACAACAACAATCACCATGCTACATAATAAAAAAATTTATATTCCTTTGTCTCTTATTGTCTTGAAAGCAATCAATTGAAAGTGATTATAATGTTCAAGGACGAAACATTGTATTTGGTTGAAAGGCATCGAGATGGTCGTAATTCAAGCAAATGAGGTAAATTCTAATAAAAATTTTGAAAATGCAAAATATGGCTATTATAGATTCCATCAAGATTTGGATAGGTTCACTGACCACATATTTTTTTTGATCATAATCACAAACACTCCTAGCACGTTTATTTAAAGAGAATTCAGTATCTGCTATTCGTAATAAAATAAATTCAATTGCAATTAAAAACGTTAATGTGCATCATAGTCGAGAATCCAATGAATTTCAAAATAAAAACCCACAAATTACGATACCTCCACAGAACTTCACCATGCACGATAGTGATATTCGGCAAAACCTTTACGATCGTCTTCACCATCTCGGACATGCTATGCTCTCTTCGTGTTAAATAAGGATCCAAACACGACGATAATACTTGTTTACCAGGAAAAGCATTATTTCTCTCTAATAGATGGATGAATTATCTAAAATTTTACCGGAATTACCGTAAGCTGAATTACCTTGTGTTACCAGTAAGTTCCGAACAAGTAGAATGAAAAAGTCAAGAAATTTATAAAAATTATTTTAACACATGAAAATCAAGTTTTTTAAAAACCATGAGTATTCAGAATCGTGAAGAATGCTCAGTGTTTAACTAAATTAGTAAATTCGAAAGACTGATTAAAGTGAAAAAAAATTTTTTCGTAGTCAACTGATGAATTCTTCGAAAATCTTTTTCCATTAAAGTATCTCAGTTTTTGATATATATTAACTATAATAATATGAACAATAATTACGAAAAAAAAAAAAATGATGTATATATAAATACGACCTGACGACGCTGAAAAAATTTTCTTCGAATTTTGCGGCGATTAAAAGCGTAGTAAAATTTCATGATAACCCAGATAAATTTTTTCGGTCATTTAAAGTATACTGTATATATTAAAATGATTGATTAAAAAAAAAAAGTGAATATATTTAACAGATAAATTCAAGGTATATTATTCGTTATAATATAGTAAACACAATAAACCACCTCCAATATACAAATTTAATTAATGTAAATAAATTATATCATCTACTTTGCTCTTACTTTAGACTTCGAAAAGAACAAAAAAAAGGGACTCTTTATTTGTTTCTATACTTGGACTCATTTAGTTTCCTTCTGTGTAGAAGTTTTCAACATGTTACGTGTTTACTCAACAGATTGTATCACTTGATTAATGTCATATATAAAAAACCAGATTTTTTTTTAGATTAATTTAATATACTGTATTTATTTCAATTGTGATTCATTACTTAAAAGGAAATTTTTATCTGGAGACTGAAATGCATGTATAACTTTGATGAAACAAAGTATTAATATTGGTATTATTATTAAACATTGTTTCTTTATATAAATGAACAAAAAAAAATGATGCGATCATGAAATTTTATTGGAGTCCATTCAATATAAAAAAGCGGACGCCTTTCAAAATATTTTTTAAAAAAAAAAAAAAAAATCATTAAATTATTTCATTTATTTTCAAACCTCATATTCACAATATTCCCTCAAACTATTGTTTTAGATAAACAATTTCAAAATGAACGCACTATGTGATTTAAAAAAGTTCAATAATAAGTTACCGCATGAGGATTCGAAACTTACCGCACGACCTCCATTCCCCCCAAAACTTACCGCGTATGACCTAATCCCAACAGAAGTTTCAAGTAAAGCTGAAAATGTAAGAATACCGAATGCATTTATAGCTTATAGAATGGCATTGGTTAGAGAATTGAAATCACAAAAAGTTGCTAGTCATCGATCAAACGTTTCAACTTACGCAAGTCGTCTATGGGCAGAAGAGCCTGAACATGTTAAAGAAACTTATAGAAAGATGGCAAATGATGCCACAATATTACATAACAAGTCAAGAGGGATAACTTTTCTCTGTTACGAACAATGCAATTCAAATGAAAAATGCAAAAAAAGGAAAAGTTCGGTTCTAAATGAAAATATAACGCAAAATATCGAACCTGATATTCCTTCATTAAAAATTCAACCACAAATACCACAACAAGTTGATGTAATGATGACGCCTCCACAGTCCGATTTTGATCAATCATATTTCAATAATAATTCAATGGCCAATCAGACTTTTCAAGCTGTTAATAGATCGAATGTATACGATCAAAATATGGCTAATCCAATTGGTATGAATCCATTTTGTGGGAACCTTTTTGGAAACAGGTTGAGCCTTGAGCAACGTGTTCAAAATTTGGAGCACCAAATGGCTATATTTCATCAAATGTGCCTTGGTGGGTTTCATTATCAAACAACGTAACAATCTAATCATTATCACCATCATTAGCACCTTTTAATTCTAATTTAATGAGCGAGATAAGAAGGACATTCACGGCTCTTTTTTCTTTTTTTTAAAAAAAAAAATATTTCTTAAAGTTGTACTACCAATTTTTTTTTAAATTTGTATTGATAAGTATTAAAATGTAATGTTATATAAATTGTGTAACCGATTTTTTTAGTGAGACATACAAAAAATTTTAGTTGGATCGATTAGAAATCGCCCCAAAAATTTTATCAATGTACTCAAATATTCATAATAAAATTAAATAAAATGCATAGACTTAAATTTTAACGCAATAAACTTTAAATTTTTTTTTATTAAACCCAATCAAAAATTTGTCATGCAATTAAACCAATGAAATAGCCACGTCTAACTGGATAAGGAAGTCAATAATGCTTTTTGAAGATTTCATTCAAGTTTTTTTTTTTTTTTGGTTATAACCATATAAATTTAAAGTATAAAAATTAAATTTTAACTGATCATTAACAATTTCTCTTATTGTGAGTGTAAGAAGAATCGTCTAACCGAAAAAAGAAATATGGGTAATTTTTAAAGGACTGTCAATTACATAACGATACGATAATATCATAAAATTGAAATGATGCATGAAGATGATCTCTAGCTCAATGATATCTTTGGTTATGCATCACGAAAACGTAAAGTTTCCTTTTTTCTCATTCATGAGAATTTGTAACGGATTAAAGATAAATGATAAGAAATCATTTAGTTTAAAATAAAATCACTTGTTTTTCATTTTTATAAAGCATGTTCTTGAATGTAAATCGACCGAAGATTTACAATATTTCCTTTTATTTCGTAAATGAATTGAAATATTTCAGGTAAAAATTAGTGTTACAATTTTTTATTTGAAACTTTCACATCTAAAATGATCTAGAGTATTTGTTGATAGCAATATCAAATATAGGGTAACATGATAAATACTTCGTTATAACGTTTACATCAAATGATTAGACTGTTCGTATTAAAATTCTAATAAAAGTTAATTTTTGTAAATATTTGCATGACTTCGAATTTGATGTTTGATTCGAACTATAGAATATCTAAATAGGCCAAGAAAACAAAAAAAAAGGTCTAAAAATAAATTATTTCTTTAAATTGTATACTAATACGCTTACTTCCGTGTATCACGCGAATATAACTCCTAATCTCAACAATTAATTGCATTTTACTTAAGCGACAGATAAAATTTATATCTTTTCATCTTTGCATCAACTTTTTATTCAAAAAAATGAATGATTCTTTATTGTTCCCAGACTTTTAAGTAATCAATAAAAAAAATTTTTTTATCTTGTTTGTTTTTTTTCAAAAACAGTTAATTTTTATCATTTGTATTACACGCGTGTCGTTGGATCTTTCAACATGTGGTACGTAAAATCACGAAAATGAGTAAATATTTAAAATATTATGCATAATTTCTTTATCCCCGATAATCATTATAAATTGATCCGAATGATCCGTTTTTTTCTCTTGATGACATTTTCACCTTGTTCTAAGATAAAAACTCATATTTCTATTTAAGGTTAACATTTATTTGTCATCTTTTAAATTTTATTAAAAAAAAAAAAAAAAAAACATTGCGGCAAAATTGTTCCACAAGTATAAAACAACGACTTTTCTAAATTTAAAAATTTTTTATATTATTATCAAATTACAAAAAATTTTTAGTGAAATTAAAGATACCGTACATATTGTGCGTGTTAAAAAGCAGCGTTAATCATAAGTTTAAAGATTTTCGGAAAACGTGTGAATTTGAAGCCACTTGTGAAATTCCAGGATTAATAAAAAGAAATTTTTTTTTAGTGGTATCATTGAATGGTACTATTTTAGTCAATTGCATTTGTTCCACATTATGGATCACAATCACAAAGTAAATTTGGATCTGCATTAAAATTTTAAAAATGATTTTTTTGATCAAAGTTAGTGGTTGATGCTTTTGGAAAAATGTGTAACCAAATATACGGTACTTCTCCTTAAATTGATGACTATTAAAAGAACAAAAGAACAATTATACTCGATAAAGAACTTTGTTATTTTATGCTTTGAAATTATATCTTTAGTAAATTGAAGAGGTACAACATTTCGTTAAATGTTTATTGCCTAATACAAAATAGGAACAAATTATTATTACAAAGGTAAAAAAAATTACTATCCCTTATCATTCATGTTCATGTTTCAAGGGATTAAAAATTTTTTGTCTCTCATTGTACTAACTATTAAAGGGTTGGTCAACGATGAGGAGTCATGCAAGTTTCAAATTATTTGCAGATGTAATCTTTTCCTGATTTATCGATAAAATACAAACGTAAATCATTAAGGTCACCTTGAATAAATATTATTTTTTTTTTGTTTATTACTATACACCTCATGAATTTGTATTCAAGGAAAATAATTTCCCCGATAAACTTTCTAAATACGAAAGATTGAATATGATGCAATATTTGTGGAACATTTCTTCTTTTTTTTTGTTTCTTCGACTTTGTTATTAGTAAATTTGTTGTCCAATATTTAGAAAATCTTACATTTTTTTGAAACTTTTTATTCAAAAGTTTCAGAATATTAATTACTGATTTCTAAATTTTTTACTTTTTTGGAATTTAAACGCTCTTGCTTCCTTTTTTTTTCTTTTTTTTTGTTAGCATTCATCTCAATGATAATATAATCTTTCATCAACGCATTTTATTAGATTCATCAATCACCAAATTTAATAATGAATAATCGAGATGAAAAATAAGATCCTTCCATGAGGTGATTACATTTCAAACTAAACCTTTTTGAAAAGTTCTCCTACATCGTTATTTTCGTTAGTTTAGCATCTTTCGAAATCGTTCAATAGGTCCAAAAGTTGTGTCATGATACATATAATTTCTTTGTTGGAATTGGGAAATGAATTGATTTAACAAAAAAAAAAAAATTCCTTGATAATTATTTTACAGTAGTTAGATGATTATACTGTATGTACGTTTATTATTCCTTTTATTTTTAATCCTTCAAACATCCAATAGTAAATACAACGATAAAATATTATTAATATATATTTTTTAATATAATAAACAAGTTTAAAATAAATTTTTTAATTGATCATTTTAAATATACTTATTTTCCAATTAATTTCATTGTATGTATTAACTGCAATTTTAAATACTCGGAATAATTTTTTTTTTGAGATTTTGCTTAAATCTTACTTTAATTTACAAAAAAAAAATCATTAAGAATATATTGTAAAGTTTAAATGTATTTTTAATCATTAAAATTAAAAGTTTAATAAATAAATTTATTTATATTAATTATTAAAAGATAAAATTATTATTAAAAAATTTAACAATAAAATTATTTAAGATAAATTAGAACTCTATCAATTATAGATACATATCGATATATTATAACTCTAAAAATAAAGTTTATTTAATTAATTTATTTAATGTAAAAAAAAATAAATCTTATTTATTAATTTGAATAATTTTATAATTCATTTATTAAATTAATTAACTTGATAACTATTAGATAATATATATAATCTGATAAATTAACTATTAATTTAATTATTATTATTTTATTAAATTTAAACTATTAAAAACTTTTATTAATTTAAAAGATATAAATATATTAATAATATTTATTTAATAAAATAAAAATTTATAATAAATCATAAATATATTAATTAGAATTTATTATATATTATAAAATTAATTATAATAATTATAAAGTAATTAAATATGTTATATTAAGTTTGGAAATTAGATTTAAATGATAAAAGTAACAGTAAGAAATTAGAATTATAATAAAATAAATTGATATTAATAATTAAGTATTATATTAAAATTATAAATAAATTAAGAAATTTTTTTTTTTCGCATATGTGATATATCGTAGGTATCACATGATAAATAATTGCTTGTAACATAATAATAAAAGTTTATAATCGTTATTAATAATTTTATCACATGATACAATTATTATATTATGATAATATTATGATACGAATTTATTGTATTATTGATTTTTTTCTTATAATTTAACATTACTCTTCTTTATCTTTTTTCTTATTCTCATATTATCATGAATAATAATTATATAACTAATAATTTAGAAAATGTTCTTATAGGAAATAAAATTTCAATTATCACATCAAATCATGATTTTAATAGAGTTGAAACTAACTTCATAACATTGCTTACTGTAAATTTTTACCAAATTAAAATACCTGTAACTCATATATAAATAAGTGGAATAAGAATAAAGGATTTAATATTATAAAATATAGAGTTTGTTAAAATAATGATATTATTAAAAGAAAAACTTACATTTATGAATATGAAAAGTTATAAATTCAACTCTAAAAAGATACAGAACTAAAAAGATATTATTTTTTCAACAAATAAATGTTTCTTATCCTAATGTAAAAAATCCAAATTCTGTAATTTTTATTAATAAGTTTGTAATGAGCATAATCACAAGTTACATGTTGAAGCTATTATATTTGAAGAAGAAACTTTTTTAGTACTGATATGATAAATGATGTAGAGGTTGGAACCGACCCAAAAATCCTTAACCGGTTGATAACTGATTAAAAATTTTTTTAACCGATTAATTAACCGGTTAAATTTAATTCAGGCCGGCATTATAAATTTGGGCAAAACTAGCAAATTTTGCAATTGCAAAAAATTTTAATTCTGCCCAAAAATTAAATTTCAGCTAAAGTTAACATTAGTTATTTTAACCGGTTAAAAAAATCTTTAACCGGTTAACAAGATAAACGTCTTAACCCGTTAATTAACCGGTTAAAAATTAACTGATTCCAATCTCTAAAATATGTGATGTTTAAATTTTAATACAATATTATAAAATATGTATATTAGTACAAAGAAGAGATTTGGAAGGTAAATGTTCCTTTTATTTAATTTATAACAAAGATTTATATACTATAATTTATCTAACATTCAAATTATTTTTAAAGATAA